AAGACTCCCACACCTTTCCCAGAAAAGTCACCCCATAGACCAGGAGCAGAGTGGAGGAACAGCCCCTTATCCACTGTTCCCCACTCACTCCACAGACTGGAGTACTCAGTTTAGGGAACAGGCAGGGGGCTTTGCTTGATTGCTACCCTCCGCTCCCTTCTCAGACTGGTCTGCTTCTGCTCCATGCTTCTTCTCCAAACTGGGAACTGCTGGATTGGGGAAGGTTCTAGTGGCTTTGTGCCAGTACTTCCTCCTCTTTACTGCCAAGACTGGGAGCAGAGTGGAGGAGCCTACTCCTCGCCCATTCCCCAGACCCAGTCTGGGGAAGATGCAAGGAGTCCCACAACTCCACTTCCCCAAGGGCAGCTACAAGCTGTACACCTGTACTTCATCTGGAAAAATATCCACGTGTGAAAAGTTCTCAGAAATGTCCACTGGTAAATATGAATTCCTGTTTGTGGCCTAAGTACTGTATTGAAACAGTGCATTAATTTTCTCCTCTCTTCACAGTTGAGATCTGTCTTCTTTCCTAATTTCTCCCTCTTACCTATAAACTGTATAAATCCTGTGCCTTCTCCTGTATCATTTGCTTCTTTAAATTTCTTTTTCTAACATGACATTCAAAATGATTCAATTTATGCCATGTTATTTTGCCAGCCCTTAGTACTTAAGCCATTATGACCCCTATAGCTGTATTCACAAAAAGCAAGGCAATAATATGTTTCAAGGTTCATCTATTCACTTACCTAGGGTGGAGGCTGGAGTTTCATTGAGGTTCCTTTGAATTAACATTGTATTAGCTGTATGTAGTTGTATGACTTATACATTGGTTTTACATTTAGAGGCTGTGATGGGGACTTTTTCCAAAACGTGGGGAGTGAGGGTGGGGAGTGGAGAGAGAGACCAAAGAACAAGTAACAACACAAAATAAAAAACCCGACTTTATGCTGCTATAATTTCCAGCATTATAATAGAACAAAAAATAATACTTTGCATTTACTGTGCCTGTGAAGCTTTACTTCACTAAAACACTGTACAAAGAGGAAGAAATATAAAGTTCAGGTTCCATTTACTCAAAGGTACCCATTTAACTGGAATATATAAGTTGTTTTCAGAAACATTTTATTTAAAAAGAAATTTGACAAGTACTGATTGAATTAAATGAGGTTTTGTTCATAGATTATGATAGATTTGTGATTCTTCTTTGCCACTACTACCTTTGGGCTTCTGGGCATCTTTTGGAGTCCTAAGAATCTGGTCATGCAACACATTTACCTTAATTTTTTTACTTGTCTTCATGATGCTGCAATAGACTTACCTTTTTATGCTGACAGGGCTGTGTGAAGCTTCAGTAGCTGATTTGATTCGGAGGAGATTTGGCTCAATTCAGGGACCAAATCTCTGAATCTGAATTGAATTGTGAGATCAAGTAAAAGCTCCAAATTGATTTGAAGCATCCGAATCAATTGAGAGAAGTTTCGGAAAAGATTGGACTGATTTGGAGATTCATCCATAGACTAAACAGGCAGCTGACAGCTGCCTCCAGCTGGTAAGTCTGTTGGGGTTGGGGGAGGGGGGAAGGAAGGGGCATGGGGGAGGAATTAGGGCTGAGGCTGGGTCTGGGTCTGGGACAAGCTGCCCATCTGGGGCAGGGGGGTGCATTACTCGGGGAAGGGGGAAGTGGGGCTTAGCAGGATGCCACACACTGTCTGGGAGCTGGGGCAGCTCCACGTGTCAGCTGGAGCCCAACAACACTCAGCCTCAGTAAATCCTGCTCCCTGCTGAGCCATGCTGCACCCATGCCATGGGGCAGCTACTGTGTGGGTGCCAGGCAGGGGGGTGATCCCCACTGCTTCATATAGCACAGGCAGGCTCTGCCACAAGCACCCAGAGGCCCCAGTCACTGCTGCTGCAGCCAGTGAGTGTGGGGCTTTTTTTTTAAAAATTATTGGGATACTAGGGACAGATGGGGCATCCATCAGGGGTGGGTGGTGCTGGGGGGGAGGAAATCAGTGAGTGGAGGCTCTGGAGGGGCGGTCTCTGCCGTGTGGCCCCAGAGCTCCCACAGACCCTGCTACTGCCAATGAGCATTTTTTTGTTTGTTTGTTTTTTAATTCCTGGACTGCTGGGGCTGGGGTTGAGGGGGGAGGGACAGGGCATGGGGGCTTCTCCCACAGCTCCCCCCACCTGGGGAGAGGCAGGCACAGCCAGAGGAGCTGCAGGAGAACCTGCAGCTTGCCTCTTCCCAGCCGATCCAAATCACCGAATCTCTCCGAATCAGCACTGAATCTTCTGAAGCTGATTTGGCCGAATTGATTTAGGACAGTGATATGAATCTCTGAATCGAATCCTCTGTCCTCTGAATCAGCCCAATTCTAATCAAATGCTTCCTTATTTGCACAGGCCTACTGACTGTTTACGCACTCCAGAGTCTCTCAAAAGCACGTCTTGACTCTGAAAGATTTCTGTAGATGGATAACAACACAACCTATGGCTTCTGAAGAGCTTGCACCTGTAGTGGTTTGGAAGGGCTCAGACATGCATCCTAGGAAAATTTGCTTATAGTTTCCTGTGTGACAGTGAATTAGCACATCACAACACCAATAAACCACCCTAAAGTTTAATACTATTAGGTATCATGTAAAACAAGTCAATAGATCATGGATATTTTGGTAAGAACATCACAGTTTATAATAATAGTGTTTCTTTTTTAGATTCCTTCTTCATAACAGCAAGTTAATCCCAGACAAAAAGGCAAACTCTTTAGTCAGGAATCTGTCACAGCCCTGATGTCTTTGTAGGGGAGTGGATTACTTTGCAGGAAGACTAACAAGTATGGCAGAAAACCAGCTTGCCTTAGCAGGGAACTCTTCAGTAAACTAAATCACAAAAAGGAAGCTTATAAGAAGTGGAAACTTTGAAAAAAACTAGGGTAAAATATAAGAGCATTGCTCGGGGATGCAGGGATTAAGTCAGGAAAGGCAAAGCACAATTGTAGTTGCAGCAAAGGACGTGAATGGTAACAAGAACTGTTTCTACAAGTATGTCAGCGGCAAGAGGAGGATCAGAGAAAGTGTGGGTCCATTACTGAATGGGGAAGGCAACCTCATGACAGGATGCAGAAGAGGCTGATGTACTCAATGCCTATTTCACCTCAGTCTTCACAGGCAAGGTCAGCTCCCTGACTATTGCATCAGGCAGCACAGTGTGGGGAGGAGGTGAGCAGCCAACAGTGGCAAAAGAACAGGTTAGAGACTATTTAGAAAAACTGGACACATACAAGTCCATGGTGCTGGACAGGATGCACTCAAGGGTGATGAAGAAGTTGGCTGATACGATTGCAGAGCTACTAGCCATCATCTTTGAAAATATGTGGCAATTGGGAGAGGTCCTGAATGATTGGAAATGGGCAAATATAGTGCCCATATTTTAGAAAGGGGAAAAGGAGGATTCAGGGAACTACAGACCACTCAGCCTCACCTCTGTCCCTGGAAAAAGTCCCTCAAGGTATCCAGCTTGAAGCACTTGGGAGAGAAGAAGGTGATTAGGAACAGTCAGCATGGATTCATTAAGGGCAAGTCATGCCTTACCAACCTGATTGCCTTCTATGATGAGATGACTGGCTCTGTAGATGCAGGGAGACCAGTGGATGTGGTATACCTCAATTTTAGCAAGGCTTTTGATACGGTCTCCCACAACATTCTTGCAGGCAAGCTAAGGAAGTATCGGCTGGATGAAGGGACTATTAGTTGGATAGAAAACTGGCTTGAGCATTGGGTTCAGAGGGTAATAATCAATGGCTCAATGTCTAGTTGGCAGCCAGTATCAAGTGGAGTGCCCCAGGGGTCAGTCCTGGGGCCGGTTTTGTTCACTGTCTTCATTAGTGACCTGGAAGATGGCATAGAGTGCATCCTCTGCAAGTCTGCAGATGACACTCAAGTTGGGGGGAGTAGTAGATACACTGGGGGGGGGGGGGGGGGGGCAAGATTCAGAATAACCTAGACAAATTGGAGGATTGGGCCAAAAGAAATCTCCTGAGGTTCATCAAGAACAAGTGCAAAGTCCTGCACTTAGGACAGAATGATACCATGCACTAGTACAGAAAAGGACCTGAGGGTTAAGGTGGACGATAAGCTGAACATGAGCCAACAGTGTGCCTTTGATGCCAAGGCATACTGGGCTGCATTGGGGTAGGTGTCACCAGCAGGGCAAAGGAAGTGATTGTTCACCTCTATTCAGCACTGTTGAAGCCACATCTGGAGTACTGTGTTCAGTTTTGGGACCCCCCACTACAAAAAGGATGTGGACAAATTGGAGAGAGTCCAGTGGAGGGCACTAAAAACAGTGTGGGGGATGAGGGACATAATTTCTGAGGAGAGGCTGAGGGAGCTGGGCTTATTTAGTCTACAGAAAAGAAGGCTGAGAGGGAATTTATTAGCAGCCTTCAACTACTTGAAGGGGGGTTCAGAAGAGGATGGAGCTGGACTGTTCTCAGTGGTGGCAGATGACAGAATAAGGAATAACAGTCTCAAGTTGCAGCAAGGGAAGTTTAGGTTACATATTAGGAAGAAGTTTCTCACTAGGAGGGTAGGAAAACACTGGAACAGGTTACCCAGAGAGGTGGTGGAAGCTCCATCCTTGGAGGTTTTTAAGACCTGGCTAGACACAGCTTTGGCTGGGATGATCCAGTTGGGGATGGTCCTGCTCTGAGCAGCAGAGTGGACTAGATGACCACCTGAGGTCCCTTCCAGCCCTAATTTTCTATGATTTCTATGTTTGCTGATAGAGAATGCAGGTGCTACAAGTGTGTAAGTCATAGATATATCTGGTGACACCAGCTGCTAACATGAATCTCTTGCTCAAGAATTGAAAGACCCTACATAATATGGGACTGAACACTTACTATCAAATGAATATTTATTACATGTATTTAATTAAATAGAAATGCTGCACAAATATAGACCAGAATGACTGCAGAGAAAGACCTGGTTATTACAGTGGACCACAAGCTAAATGTGAGGCAACAGTGTGCTCTTGTGAAAAAAGCCAACAGCATACTGCATTATATTAACAGGAATGTCTCTCACAAATCAAGGGAAGTTATTCTTCTATTCTATTTGGCATTGGTGAAGCACCACCTAGAGTACTGTGTCCATACTGTGTCCATATTCAAAAAAATTTGGACAGACTGGAAAGAGGCTGGCAAACAGTGAAAAAACATTATAAGCCTGGGAGGCATGATTTATGAAGAGAAGCTGAAAGAACTAAGGTTATTTAGTCCTGGGAAAAGAAAACTAAGGGAGGATTTGATAGCAGCCTTCAAATAACTGAGGACCAAATATAGAGATGGGCTTTTTACTGTGGTTGTAGGGGACAGGATTCGGAGGAATGGCTTCAAACTGCAGCTGAGGGACTTTAGGTTCGAGATTAGGATGAATTTTCTGATTATGAGGGTAGTCAAACACCGGAACAGGCTACTTGAAGAAGATACGGAATCTCTGTCCTTACTAATTTTTAAGACCATGGTAGACAGACGCTTGGCTGGGAAAGGTTAGTCAGGGAAGATCCTGCCCTGAGCATGGGGCTGGACTAGATGACTTTGGGCGCTTCTATACATCGCTGTACGACAATGTAGTGACTCACTGCATCACCGTACAGTGTGCTATGGTGATGCAGCGATTACACCGGTCTACGTGCAATTGCCAGCTACGTTGTTATAGTGCTGTGCCCCACACTTAGTGCACCACTACAGCAACGTAGGCGCAAAGTTTATCCATGCTTTGTGCACACAGTGTAGTAACTACCCATACTGCGCTGTGCTTTAGTACTTCCAAAAGGAAGTACTAAAACATGGCAAAGTGTAGATGCACTGATTTTGAGATCCTATCCAGCCCTGGTTTCCTATCATCCTAAATTACCATGGGTAAGAACCTGAAACCTGTGTTTAGTGAAATAGTAAATTAGCTGTCGTGAGAAGCAGAAATACCTTTTATTGGGCCAGCTATATAGTTGAGGGAGAGACTAGACAAGCTTTTAGTTATCAAATGCCTTTCCTGAGGTCTAGGAAAGATGTGAGCAAAACCTAAACTAAATACCAGATAGAACAATGACTCTTGTTTAATCCCATTATATAAATGACAATGCTTGTTTAAGAAGGGAATTGGACAGTATGTCTATGGATAGAAGTTAACAGAGGTAGTTATAGACCAAGTAAATAAAAATTGCAATAGATAAACCTGATTATGTTAAAAAAAAAGAAAACTATTAAAAAAGAGGGCCATTATTTTTTGTGAGCACATAGAGGTTAGCTGAGGGGGAAGGTAAATTGTAAATGAGCCATAAAACATTGTCTATAAAAAAGTAAAGTTTTGAACCTTTTCTCACAGGCCTGCCTTCTCTAAGTATTGTGGATTTCCTCTAAGAACAAGGACTTCGAATTCAGAGATAGACTAGTTATTCCAGAAGTGTTCTTCAACAGGTGTTTCTGTTCTTTATCATTTTACTATGAAAGTTCGTTCTGGAGGTTAGTGACTGGTAAATTTCCCCAAC